CAATGAAGAGTTGAAAAGAGAACAAGAGAAAGAAAAGAAGCAGAAAAAAAAAGTGAAAAATTCTATTAGTGACTTTTGTTCATAGCCACTCCGTGCGCAAAAGAATCGAGCGGCATGATGAAGTACGACAAATCTTCATTGCACAATTTAAGTAAACTGTGCCTGTCATTTAAAAAAACACATACATTTTTCTTTTATTCAATTTAATGTTTACAAAAAAACGTATATTTCTTTCATATATTGTTAATAGATTTGACATAGTTTTCTTATCATTGTATCAATAATTGTTATATACATGTCAGGTAAACTTTAATTGATTTAAAACGTAACTATTATTTGTAATTAATGTAAAACATATATTTATATTGCAATGGAACTTATATATTGGTAAGTATTGTTTTGACTTAGATACTTGTACGTTTATAAATCCATGTTTTTTTTCAAAAAGAAAAAGCACAGACATTGAAATAAAAATTTTCTCTTCAAGGGTAAACGTGTTCAATTAATGTTTTTTTTTTCTTTGAAATATGCATTTTTACGCGATTTATCACTTTATATTCTTGACATTTACACTTCTCTTTTTTTCTTTAATTAGTTAAGTTTTCTGTATGCATGACTGTGAGGATAAAATTTCCATTAATAATAATCAAAATTTTTATCTGACATAAATATCTTATTAGAAATAATGATTCTCATATATGTTTATAATTTATAATGATTTTTCATTTCTTTTCTTTTCTTTTCTTTATGCAAAAATGAAACAATAAAACAACAGACATAATAGTAATGATGAGATGGTTGTTGTCATCGTCGTCATATCGTTGATTGTCCTCTTTCTTTTCCCTTGGCAACCATTAGTCGCTAAAGCATTAAACATACTTTTTTTTCTAGAGTTGCGCTCTCAAGATGTTCTCTTAACCGTTTGCAAAAAAGGGCATTATGTTTTCGCGCGTGTAATTATCAAAACCAAATGCATAAACGATGTCGCTATGCAACTGAGTCTATTTGCTGCTGTGTCCAAAAAACGAAAGGCAGAAGACATATCTACTAAAGAGGACCAACATACTTTCAGATTTAGCATAAAAATGTAGAAGAGAGAAGACGAATAGGAGAACAATGAGTAAAAGACAAGAATACAATACATATTTGCTTTATAAACAAATCGATTAGAAAGTGAAGGTTATAATTAATCAATGCTTAAGGGAATGACTCTTCAAATTATCTACATATTGAAATTATTCAGTGGAAAATTGTCAGTGATCATTTCTTCTCTTGATTTATATGACTACTAAAGTGAAAAATATTTGCAACTAACTGATTATACATATTTATTGAAAACAAATTTTATTACTACCATCCACACAGAATCAAGTCATTCATCTAGAAAAAGAAATTCTGTTAAAAGTATATTCTCTAGTTATGATTGGATGTTTTTTTCTTCTTTATATCACATTCATCAGTCGATCGACAACATTGGTGGTCACATTATTTTCAAAACATTGATTTAGCAACCTTATAAATATTTTTTTTAATGAGGCGATCTTGCAAGTAAAATTATCTGAATAGATTTCGCTTTTCGAATTGAAATATTCGCAATAAATGCGAAAGAAAATAATAATATAATATTTTCATAATTTCTTTTATATTATGTACTAATCACTTCACCTTAATATTATAACGATAGATGGCTAGATGAAACCTATTGAAAACTTCTTTTATTTATTTATATATTTATATATTTATTTATTTGTTTATGTTTTTTTTTGTCGTTTCAGATTAATGCATAGTAATGATGATAACAGCAATGAACATATTCTTACATTCAGTATTACAAATTGAACTTTTTTCTTGTTATCATTCATAGTTTCATTATTATTTTCCTCGTATTTAATTCAAAGTTTCCCTAATATTATAAGATGATGACCGAATACGATCAACAACATAGTCAACGTGGATATCAACAATATGATCAACGTGCGTATCAACAATACGATCAACGTGATCATCAACAATATGATCAACGTGATCATCAACAATATGATCAACGTGGTTATCAACAATATGATCAACAACAACCACAACAACGTCCAACAATACTTGAACGTGGTCGAGCTATACGATTAATGAGAAATGGAGATTCATTTTTTCCTGGTCGAAATTTTGTTATTAACCAAAAAAGATATCCAATGTTCGACGTATTCTTAGATGATGCATCACGAACATTACGTGCTAATTTTGGAGCTGTTAGATGTATTTATACACCAAAACATGGTACACGATTACAAGATATATCTGATTTTGAAGATCATCGAACATATGTAGCAGCTGGTGGAGAAAAATTTAAAAAGCTTCAGTAAATATTATTTTATTAAAAATTTATTTTTAAAGAAAATTTTATTATGTACTTTTCAGTTATCTTGATATTGCAGAAGGTAAACGTGTTGCAACTAAAGGACAAACATCACCTAAAGTAAGTTCAAATAAATATACATATATATATATCAGATTAAATTTACCCTAAACAACTTTTGTTTATGAATATACATATAAATATTTATAAGATTGAGTTTTATTGTAAACAAGTGTTGATATCTCTTTTATACTTTTTGCAAAACACAATCTAAAAGGACTGTTGAAGTATACGAGTAAATATTTATATACATCCTTCACAGACGTTACCATGGAAACGTCATAGACGCCTTAGCAATACTTCCTTCCGTATCACTGACATTGTTGATATACGATCTTTGATCGTATATGAATAACGTCTCATTATTATATATGAACTATTTTCTCATTGTATTTCTAGAGGATTAGGTAAAGGGATGATGAAGAAATGTGTCCCATCATAGATAGAATAAAACAATCTTCTTGTGATTAGAAAGAGTAGCTATACAGTGTTTGACATTTTAATTTGTCGATAGTATTATCTAAGGAAAGTAAAGATGAGAGGATGAGCATACAAAAATATCTTAATCTTAGAATAAAAGAGAAATGAAAAATATCGATGCATTCTTATTATTTAAAATCTTTTAATTTTTGTTAAAATAAGTCTTGGGTTTCTTATTTAATAATATATTATTTTCTTCCTAGATTCAACTTCCACCTGTTCGACGTATAGATGTTGAAGGACGAGCATTAAAATTATCTCGATCAGAAAATGTTATAATCTAGTAAAGAAAATTGTATTTTATTTTTTCAAATCTATTATTTCAAATTTGTCTTCTTCTCTTTTCAAGTGTATATCGAAATGGTGATCCATTAACATTACCAGCTAAAGTTCTCTTAGTAAAACCAACATTACCAAATTGGGAATCAGTACTCGATGAAATTACAAAAAAAGTATCACTTACAAATACTGCAGTATTAAAGTATTTATATATAATAAATCATAATTAAGTCTTCTGCCTTTTTTAATTTAAAATATTTTCTTTAGAATATATGCAATGAATGGAGAATTAATAACATCATCACGACAACTTGAATATAATGGAATGTATGTTGCAGCTGGTAAAGAACGTTTTAAACGTGTTGAATATCCTGATCCACAATTACTTAGTCCAAATTCTTCACCAAAAATATCAAGAAAATCGTAAGTACAATGCATCTTATAAAAAGTCATTTAAGAAAAACAAAAAAAAAAGAACCAAGTCCATTATCAATAGAAATACACGTGATGCATTCATCTCTTTAAATTAGGTCAAAGCATCAACTTTCTGGGTAAGTATTAGGAAAATACAATGTTAAAGTAATATAGTAAAGCAAAAACAAAATCAATAAAAGATGAATATCTAACACACAGGAGCTATTCGAAAAACAAAAAAAAAAAGAATTAGACATATATATACTCTCTAACAGAATGTATATAGTTCGTTAAAGAAAGAAGCAACACCTATGATAAACTTTTGTAGTGTTTATCCTCGAATAAGATTACCTCCACGACAAAGGAGGACTAATGATTCTAGTGTTCATCATAATCATCAACCAGCATCCTCTCTTACACAACACAGGTATCTTTTTTTTCTAATAAAAAAAAAACATTTATATATCCAATTGCTGTCGATACTATTATATTTATTCTAATCAACTACAGATTGCGTGACAATATGCGAAATTCTAGAGACAATAAACATGATGCTAGTTCTATTTATCTTCTTCTTCTTATTGAATTATTGTGTTTCTGTTTTAACTTCTTTAATTAAAATTTGATTTTTTTTATATAAAAGTTTATTTTTTGATATTTTGCTTTTTCTCATTGAGATATACAAAATCCGATGGAACAAATACAAATACAAATACAACTACAGCTAATTCTTATGGAAGTACAGAAAATACTGTACAGTAAGTTATTTTGATGATATGCTTAGAACAAAACAAACAATAACATAGTTTTATATAACATTTTAAGACGGCGTCCTGCTCGAGAAGAATATGATTTTTTTAATAATAAATCACAACAACATCGACGTGGTCCAACTAAAGAGACCGATCTTGATCGAGGTTATTTTGCAAAAACAAAAAAAAAACACCAATAATTAAATATAATATTCGTTTTATTCAGATGACGGTGGTATTTATAAAGGTCGATTAACTAATCGAGAACGTGCACGTGAAGTTGATGAAACACGAGATACAAAAGTTGATTTACCAGTTGATTATAGACAAGCTGAAACTGTTGAAGAAGAAAGTTTATATGGAAATGTTCGAGTATGTGATATCGTTTTTTTTTGTCTATTTGAGATAGAAACTTATGATTTAAAAAAAAATAATAAATTTATCAAATTTGATTTTGTTATAAGTATAATCCATTTCAAAAAAAGAAGAACCGTGAGTATTTTTTGAATGACTTTTGATAGGAATAAGATAGAGAACTGCGGTTTTTTCTCATTACAAAGAGAAGATTCCGATGTATAAATATGTGCTGAAATTTGATTGACCAACACTGAACCAATGAGTTTAATTCTCGATTGTGAATGTGATCGGTACACATGAAAAGTTATTCTCTTTCGATCTACACAATGTCGACATTGCTAGCTTATCTCGTTCAAGGGTTATAAGAGTTTCTCGAGGTTATCCGAAAGAGCATCTAAGGAGAGGTAAGCCATCATGCTAAGCTCGAATGGCAATATCTCGTTTTTGAATTCGAAATGATCTAACACTGTTATTTCCATATTTCCAAAGTTGTCCAATCTACCGTTATGTACTATAAGAAGTCTACATGTTACAAATATTGAGATAATAATGTCAGATCATTTCGAAGCCAAAAATAAATATCGTCAATCGACTCAGCATGATGAATTACCTTTCCAGTTGATCCCAGGATAATGAGCTGAAATCGGAGGTCTCAAAAAAATCCCTATGATTCTTGAGCAGAACAAGCTAGCAATATCGACTTTGCGTAGATCGAAAAAGAACAATTTTTTCTATCTATTGATGGTATGAACAATCAAGATCAACTGAAAAATTCATCTCGTACTGGCCAATCAAACTTCAGCACACATTTGTGCGTCTGAGTCGTCTCTTTGCAATGGTGAAAATCGCAGTTCTCTATCTTATTCCTATCAATAGTTATTCAAAAACTATCCATGGCTCTTCTTTTATTGAAATAGATAATATTTAAGATAAGCGAAATGAATAACAAACATAAATTATTGTTTTTGTCTGTATGTTGAAAGAGTAAGTGGCATATGTTAGTGACAACGAAAGAAGTTTTCATCATGCGATTGAATTTAATAGTCAGTTATATTTTGTCAAGTTCTCATCTTTCATATGGTTGAAATAGGTTGATTAGCTGTTCATTAACAATTAGATCGATATGTTGCTTGTAAATTTAAATCGTTGATAGTCATCTTACAAGATACAAGTATTATATATATTCATAACTTAAATTGTGAAATGCCGCCCATTTGCATTGTGATTGATAGATATGCGCGAGATTTATACACGTCTAGTATTCGATATTTCTACACTTAATCTTTTTTATTTTCTTTCATTAATTTAGAAGAATCCTGATCGTCATCATCAGTTACCACCCAATCAACCATTTCCTGATTCTCGACAACAACCAATTAAAGTATGATTTTTTTCTGTTTGACAGATAAAATGTTTCAAATTTTGTTTTCCTAGAATCAACCAAAAAATTATAATCATGATGATGATGATGATAATAATCGATATTCATATACTAATAATCGAAGTAATGGTTACAATAATGATTATCATTATCGTAGTCAAACACCAATTGATGATGATCAAATTGAACAACAATTACCTCATTCATCATATCAAAAACCACTTAAATCACCAAGTACACAGGTATTTTTGTTTTTCAAGAAAATATTCTTTTTAATCTACTAACAAAGTTTGCTAACATGTGTGTGCGTGTGTACTAATTTTGCTTGAGTAGACTAACAAAAAAAATGCGGATCAAGCTGCTACCCTTATTCAATCTCATGTTCGTGGTTATTTTACCCGTAAACAGACTCAATATGATCGAGAACAACATCAAATGCATGACACAGAAAGCAAAATAGATTCATATCATCAATCATCGAAAGTAACCAAGGTGAATGCTATGCTGATTTACTAATCAGATTAGTTTTTGTGTGATATATTTGAATAACTTAATAAACTGATAGTTTTTTCCCCTCGTCTTAATTTTTTTTTCTTAAATATATATTATTCTTTTTTCTTGACTTTGAAAAAAATTTCTTTTTGTATTTTCGTAATCATTCTAGACTTCTAATTAATCGATATTATAAACTGGGATTTTTCGAAAATTTATTGTTAGTGAAGTATGAAGATACATACATTCGAACGAAATTTTCCTTTTTAAATAAGCGAGCTCTATTCTTTATTGCTTATAGCTTTTTTTAGGGAGAAAACAAACTGAATTAATATAATTTTATTTAATTATTTATCATTTGTTGTTCCCTTATATTTCTAGCGTGAATATGATGATGACAATGCTTAATATACGTTTCAACAAATTCAGACTTAAACTTCTTTTCTCTTCATATATATATATATAGATCGGTTGCTTTATATTTACTTTTTTTTCAAGAAGAAAAAAATCTATTCTTCTATTTGTTCTTGTATTTCTCTTTGTCTTGCATTCTTCTTTTCTTTTTTTTTTCTTGTTATTCAAACATGACTCTTTGCTACAGCCATTTTATGTATGTATTGATACAGTAAATTATGGTTCTGGTAATGCCTGATAAAAAAGAATTATCGTTGTCATTTTTTTTAATGAATCTTTATTGAGAACAATATTAATATATATGTTCTTGTTTTGTTTCGATGAATGATTAAAAAAAAGAAACCAACAATTATAAATACTCAGCATTGACAACAAAGAACAGATTGAAATTTGCTTATTCTTACATTACAATGTACTGTGAATGAAATAGCTCATATCAACAATGAAAATAAATGACAATAATCGCCGAAAAACAAATCTATTGACGATCTGTTTGATTGACATTTAGAAGATTTCATTCATCGAAACTATTTTAGTGTTGTCAATTATTTATGTTGTAAAATTTCTTTAATAATTTAGATTGATTATGACATTTGAAAGTCGTGTTAGAACTCAATTGTCAATAATAATGAGCTAAACACATATATAGATATTGAATGAAGAGAGATTTATTTTCAGTCAAGTCAAATTATATATTGGAATGAAGATATAAGACTGCTTATATTCTAAACTTGAAACAAACTGGTCACCAGCGCACTGTTTTCAAGACTTGATTTTATTCCCTTTTTTAGCTATTGTTTAGAAGATTTCAGTAAGACGATATTCAATTAGAATGAAATCGAATATGATATTCGGAATCAACATAAAAGATTGACGAGGGAACTTCTTCAGATTTCAATGGTTTTTTTTTGCCTGTAGATACTACATAGTGTTCTAATAAAAATCCTAAAAGGATTTCAGTTTCTATTGAGATTTGACTAAGCTATCAGATTTTTTTCTAAAGACCTTAGGTTTTCGGAAAACTCGTATTTTCGAATCTTGGTCTGAAACTTTGTGCATGTAGAGAACTCAACTAGACTAACTTCCATAAGAAAAACTCAGGAGTTTTCAACAAACTTCCTTCGAGATATGAAACTTTCCGTTTTCCATGGATAGTTTATACAGGCTACGATTGTTTGAAAATTTCATATCTCGAAAAGACATTGTTCACAACTTGTGAATTTTTTTTAATAAAAGCTGGTCTAATTGAGATCTCTATATGCACAAAGTTTCAGACTGAAATTCGAAAATACGAGTCTTCTGAAAACCTATGGCTTTAAGAAAAATATTCGATCGTTTAGTCAAATATCAACAGGAACCAAAATCTTTTTAGAATTTTTATAAGAACACTATGTAGTATCTATAGGCAAAAAAAAACCATTACAATTTCACGAAGTTTCCTCGTCAATCTTCTATGCTGATTCTGAATATCATATTAGGTTTCATTTTAACTGAACATTCTTTCATAAAAGTCTTCTACATAGTACTCTAAAAAAGGTACAAAATTAAGTCTTGAAAACAGTCTATTTGGCTATAACTTGAAAGATTAATTTTTTTCGAGTATAGAAAATATAAAGTTTTTATCTCCTGAAAAAGCTACGGAATAAGTTGTACTAAAATGATGAATAATTTCATTTTTAACAAGAAAGATGTCTCAACAGGTACACAAACATTTCATCGGCTTATCAACTGTGTCTGCATCATGCTGTTCAGCAAGCGAAATAGTGCAATTGAATACGTGAGTCCTATAAAAAATTGAAGCCTTAGCAAAGGTCTGACAAATTCACATCGTAACGCTGTTTGTTTACGCTTCTAAAAGTCGTCATCTAATGGTGATATGACTAGCGACAAAAGGTGTCTTTTTACCGATTATTATAAGACTGCTAAATTAACGAGTGAACCTTTAAATTTAATTTTAAAATGTTAGTGTATATTTATGATTTTATCCGATATATAATTTGGGCCGACTGAGAATAAAACTTGCAGTGGGTTGGCCTGATGTCTTATGCGTCCCCACCCATTTCTTAATATTAAATTATTCATTTCTCTTCTTGCTTGATATATGATGTCATGTGAAAGAAAAAAAAAAGAAACTTTTTTCATTCTAATGGTCTTCTTATCGTGTCGATGAATAATGACAGTACACCTTGTTAAGGAAGTAATACGTTATGTTTCTTTCGATTTTTTTTCTTCTTTTTGCTACAGCCATTATCATCTTCGTCATATTTGCCTCCTTTTCTTTTCGATGAAAATAAAAAAAAAACCAGCAGGAAAAGAAAAGACATATGAGGAGTCGTGAGTCTTTTTTCTCATACGTCTATCGTGTATTGAATGACGTCGACAATTGGTCCAATTTTTTGTTCTTATTCTTCTCGCATTTTTTTTCTTCTCAAAAATAAAAATTTGATCGGCATATTTTGCAGTTGCGACTAACTTTCATTTATGTGAAAGAAAAATGGGTGCAAATGAAAGTGCCGAAATTCAAGTGAGCTTTAATCATTCAAATTTATTCTATTTTGCTGGTGAACAAATATTAGGCAACATTTCATTTCAAAGTACACATGAGAAATTAGTATTAGATGGCATTTTCCTTGAATTCATTGGTGAAATTGGTTTTACAACACGACAAACAAGGCAGCAACGTGATAGTAATGGACGTGCTCGTACAGAAAATTATACAGAATATCATCGTATACCATTTATGACTATTTGTTTTCCTGTAGTTAAACCTCAATACGGACAGGTACAAATATAATGATAGACTATAAATTTCATTATATTTTTTTTCTAGCGCGAAATTACGTTATATCGTGGTCAATATTCTTGGCCATTTGAATTTATTCTTCCACAATGTTTACCTCCATCATCAGTTCCGTCCACAATTGAATTTCCTTATGTAAAATATAATATACGTATTGTTCTTGATAAACCTTGGTATAAATTGAATAAAAAACAAACTTATCCATTAACAATATTTCCACGTGTTAATCTTTATCAAATACAACCTGCTCAACAACCTGTTCCTTTTTCACAATCTAATAGAAAAAAAATTCAATTAAATGGATATCTTCTTGAAGGTGGTGTTGTACCTGGTAAAAATCTTTCACTTCAAATTAATCTTCAGAATCCGAAACGATCTGAAATAAAACGAATTGAAGCAACATTAATTCAACATCGAGAAGTTGCTCGTAGTCATCATGCTGAAATTATTTTTCGCATGGATTTACCTGATATACGTGAATTTAATGGAACAGATTTTAATCGAACTCTTAATTTACAAATACCTTCTACTTATTTAGCACCTACTTATACATATATGTCACAATGTTGTAGTCCATCACTTAGTATTAATTTCACTTATGAACTTAAATTAGACGTAAAAGTACGTGGATTATTTACTGATTTTACAATACATGTACCAGTTATAATTGGTACAGAACCAACGTCAGATCAACAACAATTAATAAATAGTTCTGTTGAAATGCTTATGCCAAGTGCTCCAGTATATGATTATGATGAACCACCACCAGCTTATGAATCAGTGGTTACAGATGTAAAAGAATAAAAATTGAATATTATTTTCTTTTTATTAATTTTTTTAAATTATTATATTTGCTTTGGTGACAATAATTTGTAAACAAAATAAATGACATTGATGTACGCAGTCATAACAAAAGGTATTGACTCAGAAGAATTGGTCATATTTATTATTATTGCATCAGGCTTTAACATTTAAGAGATTTTGTTCAAACTTATCAAATTATTTGAATTTTTAATTTTATGAAATGTCAAAGAAATATTTTTGTTTAACAATAGACTGGTGACATTGTAGAAGAATGTTATTTTTTGTTCAAGAATGTCTTATAATGGCCAAGTCTAATATAGTTCCTACTAACTCAAAATGTTTGTATATATATAATATTCAGTCTTTTAATTCAAGATCAAGAATTATTTCAATCGATTCATTTAGCTTGCTTAGCTCTTTCTATAATTTAATCTAATGAAAAATCATAATAATTCAAATTTCGGAAGTAACATAGAATTGACACAGTACTTTTATTGTTTCTCTGAAGAAATTCATTTTTTTTGCAGTTCTCTATAGTGATATGTCACCATGACACTGCATCAACATGTGTTATATTGTTTCGACATTTACATACGTTAATAACGATACAATCAATATTAACTATTTAAATATCTACATGATCAAAATATATTGTAAACATTTTTTAGTCAGATAATACAAAAGAAATAATCTAATAATCATGTCCAAACATATTGTTTAAATTCCTGATATGAATAAACTAATTGTACTTATTCGTGAAAAGTATTGATTACTCATATATATGACTATAGCTTATCTTTATTGATTAATCCTTCCTCAACGTTTATTGATTTGCTTTTTAAAACATTGACATTCTCCTTATTATTTAATCACTGTTATTTCACTTTCGTTCTCGTACTTGATATCTAAAATATACAAAAACACAGTCGACAACGCGTTATTTGCTTCGTGCTCCTACGTACACTTTGTGTCAACTGACATTTATGTACGTATGATTGTAATAAAAATTTTGTTAAGCGTATACTATCTTTAATTTTATTTCAATTATATAGGCATCTCTTACATTCCGTTAAATTGATATTAATAATAATAAAAAGGATGTAAGCGAAAGTACTGAAATTCATTTTCTAATGTTTGCAAATAGATGATACATAATGTTTTATTTATAAATACATAAAATCAATTATTACTCGATGAAATTTCTCTTGGTATTTATTAGTGGATATAGTTCTACAAGAGAAGAAAAACATATCGTTTATTATGTAAATGTTAATAGTTATGTGTAGTCTTACGTAGATGTCCATAAAATATCATTTACTAATATTCGTTATTTTCTGAGAAAGGTCAATTTTGAATATTGATCAAATATAAAATCTTGTCTTATAATTTTATAGTGAAATAATTCATTTTTGTAATCAATATTATTGACTATTTAAATATATTCCTTTTCAAGATTCTATATATAAAATAAATTAATTTATTAAAAGTAATTCAACCTTTCTCATATACAAGATATACAATAATATAATTGTTCTTCTTAATCATAATTATAAGAGTGTTCGATTACACGTTAATTTTCATCAGAAAAAGGATTCTTTTTTGAATGAAAAATTTCTTTTGAAGATTCAAAATAAGTAGAAATTTGAATGTCTTAAAATAACATTTATACAACATCAACAAACCGACTCAAATCAATAGAATCAAAATATATTGCAAATAGCTATGCGTAGATTTCAAGAATTTACTGATATGAAATTACATTGAACTTCTAATTTTATTAGTTCTTCATCTTGTGTTACCTATGTACGTACACACAAGACAATAGTTTAGTTAATCACATGTTCCTGCTATTCATTATGTATATATAGAATTTCTTTATGATATGTCCCATATGTCTACTTTATTATCGCTAAAGTCTATGATATAGATAAGATCTTAATAATTAGCATGCTGTGAGATATTGAACTCATATCGTAGCTCTAACTCGACTTTATTCAATGCTACAGCTCTAGAACTTTCAGAACAGACTTATGGTCTTATGAAATCTATCTACTAAACTTTTCAAATGAATTGGTTAAAATCATCACGGGAAAGATCCATCTTACTAAAAACCAGTATTTACTTTTCAATCAACATTTCTCATGAAAAGACAATATTTTAGTTATTTCTAAGACAACTCGAATCAGAGATAGTTACAATAATGGTATTTGAAATGAGAGATTGAACGAAAACATTTGTCCCTGCATGTTTGAAATAAGATGATCATAAGAGGAAGATTATATCTGAATCGTAACTTCAGTACATGTGAACCGATGGAAGATTGGTCGATGCCTACAATTAGGATTTCTTGGCACATGTAAGCACCCAAAATATTAGCACTTCATGGTGACAGTTACTATAGTCAGTCGGGTTAGTCCCGCACTCGATCACGTCCGAGTCTGAGGTTTTTCCGTTAAATAGGCCTCTGTTTTTATGTGACAAAAATGTTCTGACAAAAGTCAATTCTAACCGAAACGCCAACATCTATTCAAGATTTAATATAGTTTATTTTATTCTATTAATATAGATTATTTTATTATATGCGTTCTATACTTATTTATTTCATGTTATCAAATAAATTAATCTAGACAGAAAGATAACCAGTATCATAAATAAAATTAATAATGACCTTCTTTAATTGATTTCATTTAAAATCTTATGTAGTCTTGAAGTCTATAATTAAACTATTTATCAATATGCAGTAATCATAATTTTTATTATTTTTTAATTACTTTTTATGAAAAAAAAAGTTTCTATAATTTTACTAGTAGAATGATGCATTAATAGTTTAATTTTATATTGATAAATCAATCAAAAGGAAAATACTAAATGATTATCATAAATTTTCAAATGTTTTCTATCAAGCTTCTTCCTTGATTATGAATAGAACTAATTGATAGTATTCATTCAAACAACAATTCATAGTATAATCGCAAGAGAGAGATAGGTGATTTTTTTATCAATTTTAAATTGGAGAGAAAAACGAATTTAATTAAACAAATAAAACAAAAATCATCTATTGAAAAAGGTGTCGTTTTGAACGTTTTGTATCTTGATTTGAAGTATTTTGTTATGATTTTATTCTATAGGTAGAACTTCGTTGTTAAGAGAGGGCGATTTGTACATTTAGAGAATGAGGCCTACCATAATAATTACAAAAAAACATGATGTTTTTGATTACACAGATTTTTTTGATCTAAAGATAATAGAAAATTAAAAAAAAAACTTGTTTTGATTGTTTCTCCCTGGCATAATAATGTATTTTGTAAATACACTTTTTTTTAACGTTTCATTTATTATGTTTATGATTCGGTTCGATGACTTGCGATATTAGATCATTATAATTACTTTTATTTACGCCATAATAATATTTTCATTTATTGGTCATTGCATAGACACATGCTTTAATAATACAAACTACGTAAATATGCAGTTTAGTTGTTTGTTACTTGTTTCTTGTACCTGTGTGACACGCCAACTATCTTTTAACGAGAGAAATAGAAACGTTGATTTTTTTTCTATGTGACTATTGTTGTTTTTTTTTCTTACAACAGATAGATAGAAGGCTACATTTTTTTTTCGATAGTAACGGTAACATATCTATTACAGTCAGTCATTCAAAAAAAATCATGGGGATAGGGAAGAGTACGACAATTAATGTGAATTTCAATCATTCGGATTCATTTTATTATGCTGGTGAAAAAGTATCTGGAACTATTTCACTTAATAATCCTGAGAAAAAGTTAACTTTAACTAATGTTTCACTTGCATTTATTGGTGAAGTCGGCTATACAGGACAAAGAACACATCATTCTCATGATAGTATAGGTAATTTACAATTAGAAAATCTTACAGGTGACCATCAATTACTATTTATAAATACTCATCTTCAATTTACTCATTCGGAAGATAATCAGGTATGAATTTGAATAAAAGTCAAATAAAGAGCGAAATCCCTATGTAATTTTTATTGTATTTCTAGAATAAAATAACTCTTGAGCCTGGTCAATATTCATGGCCATTTGAATTTACTCTTCCTGAGCATTTACCACCATCATCAGGTTCATTAACAGATACATGTCCTTATATAAAATATTATGTACGTATTACTTTTGACCAACCGTGGTACAAATTAAGTAAAACACAAACTTATCCATTGATAATTTTTCCACATATTAATACTTTTAATAATGAAAATAGACAACCTATTGCTGTGCCTCATCGACATCGAAAACATTTACATTTTGATGCCTGTTTAAGTCCTCGAAGTATTATACCTGGTGAACAGATTTCTCTTGATATTGATCTTAAAAATCATAAACAATTAAAAATAAAAGGAATTGAAGCAAGATTAATTCAACATCGAGAAATTGCTCAAAATCATCATGCTGAAGTTATTTTTAAAATGGATTTACCTGTTCCAAAAGATTTTATGGAAATAGAATTTCATGAAACTTTTAATATAGATATACCTTCTGATCGTCTACCACCTACGTGTAATTATACGGTATCATCTTCTGGTTTATCGATTCGTACTAATATTCACTATGAACTGAAGTTGGAAGTAAAAGTTGATAAATGGAATCAGGAAATGCATTTAAGCATTCCAATTACTATCGGAACAGAATCATCATTCGAGCAATCTGAACTACGAGAAAAAAGTTATAATAAAATGCCAATAAATAATACAACAGTTTCGAAAGAAATGGATGTATCACCTAGTTTTGAATCGGAAGTTGAAAATATAAGATTATAAGAAATTGTAATCTAATTATTCAATATATTTGTTTATGTCGATTTGACTTCTGATTGTAAATGTTTCCAATCAAAATTAATATGGACCATGTGGATTTTTTTATATGCTCTGAAACAAAAAAATTTTTTTCAAAAATTCTTTTTTTTCTACATATAGCTAATATATTTATCGTAATAAACACGTTTTCATAAATTAGTTATCATGCATATAAAAATTACAAGACGTACTTGTACTGAAAAATAAATTTATATTCAATATTTTGTGTAAAAACTCGTCACTAGTGAATGTTTTACATATATCTATATATGTAGAAGGATATCTTCGAATTATATCTTCAGAATAATCAGTTTAAATATATCGAATCGACAAATACAAACTGTAGCCATATTTGGTTGCCTATCTACATTGAGTCACATTGGCTTTTACATCATTCGAAATATCTCACAAGACTTTTGGAAATCTTTTTAAGGCAACGAGCTGCTCAAAAGTCGCCCAATCAATTAGGAAGAGAGAGGCTCCCGAAAATATCACTTTTGATCACATAGGGTTGGGGAAGGGCTATAGCGACTAATGGAAGGATCATAAAATATTGAAGTTATAGGCATGAATAAAATTTGTGATTTGACATTTGAGCAGAATCACAATGGACTATCGATATTATACCACGTTGAATTGGTTTCAGATCCGACTAGACATTTGGAGAGTACGGTAGGGTTACAAAATTTTCCGTTAACCGAGTCCACGTTCGAAAATTTTGCATGTGATTATTAAGAAGGAAAGAGTGGAACTAATCATGTGATCGTCGAACATCTTCAAGCTGTATATAATTTTCGAATGGAAACCTGCCTTATGATTCTTTTCTCTTTGAAGTAAAAAACAAAAAACTATTGACTTCTTGATGATAGTGTCGAAGCAGAAGAACGTAGAATTATTCAAACAAACTCAAAAAGTGAATACAAACGTTTGACGATACTACTATTCGACTATGAATAAATAAATAAATATATACTTCTGATAATATTTATACTTCAACTTATTATCTCTTCGTTCTTTCTAAGGTTTGTTCTTGTGTTCAACTATCTATACACTACATTCTGTCTTAGAGTTATATTGATATGAAATCAATAGAAAAGAAAATATATATCCACTATGATTTATTTAAAAATTTTAATACGACGGGACAATATCACATACATATTTGATCTTACCATAATAGAGACCACATCTGAATTTAGTTCCTAATATGATATTAGATCGATAAAAGACTTATTGTGCAAAAAAACATGTCCTCTGACTTTCTATGTGAAATTTAATATGTTTACATTAAAATGATCCGTTTATTATTGATAAATCGTCTTCCTTTTTTTTTTATCTATTACAATGGCAGTGGTTATTTTCCCTCGTCACTATCTTCATTCATTCTGACTCATACGTTGTCTTCAATTCCCAACATGACCACTTCGACATGTGTTTCAATGAGTTCGTCATTATTTTTCATATTTTGAAAAATGATATAGTTTTTCTTTATGTTAAATAAATATAAAAGCACAAATATTTTACATTATTTCCATAACAATAAGAAATCGAACGAACATTTTACAAATGATTTACTTCTTCTTCATTTGCTGGTGTTTGATTATTCGTCTAGGTCGAAGTGAACAAACAAATGTGTCTTCTTGGTATAAAACTCAAATGATCGATACAGTTATTCCACCATATCATGCAGCTTATACAATATTAAATGAAAAAATTGTTCAACAATTATTAACAATAAATACTGACAGTAATCAAACAACAATACGAACATTAGTCGATTCACTGGTATGTGCTAGTCGAAATGTACAAAATAAATTAAGTGAAGCAACTAAAGCTAGTGAACAAATTCGTAATTCACTTGATGAACAAATAGCTCAACTTGTTCTTTCAATTGTTAATCAAGAAAATAAAGTACAAGAAAGTCAACAATCTGTTAATCAAGCAAATATCAATATTGAACATGCTCAACAACAAGTTACAACAGCTGAAAATACTGTTCGAGATAAACAAAATGCATTGAATGCAGCCGAACATGATATGCATGAAGCACAAAAGGCAGTTGAACGTGCTCGTTTATGTGGTCGACGACGTCGAAAACGTGGTTTTGGTAAATGGTGGAGAAAGAAAGTTGAAAAACCTTTTGTTCATGTTATTCGTCAAACAGCTATTAAACCTGTATGTAGTGTTATTAATTCAGGAGGTATTGATAATGCTAAAAATCGACGAGCATTAGCTGAACATACATTTCGTGAAGCTCAACAACGTCTTACGCAGTATCAACAAAATTTAGTTCATCAACGAACACAACATACAATAGTTCAAACACAATTAAATGAAGCAAATTCTCAATTAAATATTCTTACAAATCAACTTAATGAACAAAAAGCAAAACAGATAATTATAACATCACTTATTAAACAATTTAAAAGTATTGAAATACATTTGAAAGATGTATTAGCTTCATCGATTGTCCTTGAAGATGCCATAAGTCAATTAATTAATTTTGAACTTGTTATTGTGCCACTTCATACAATTTATAATGAAATGATTACAAATAATGTGATGAATTCTTTTAATTTTGAAATTTCATCTGAAACGATAACAAAAGTTTTAGAAAATGTAAAATTTTTAAAGGAAAAAATGCCTAAAATGCCACTAAATGAAATTATAGTGGAAGATACAAACATTACTTGTATTTAAATATCAAAAAAATAAATAAATTTTTCTTTCTTTTTTTTTTAGATGATAATCATAGTTTGTTTTTTATGTGTTTCTATTATTCTCGGCTCTCAACAGCTGACACCTACAGATTTAAGTGTAATTTCATCAAATATTGACCCATTGATGGATCAAACTACTATCGATAAAGCATGGGAAGATTGTATGATTACGGCACCGGCTACTATTAATCTACTCGGTCAAGTCATGGTTGTTGCAAGCAGAGTAGATGTTTCATTTGATCATTATTCACCTAATCGTGTCTACCAACACATCAAATATCCAAAATCATTTCGTGCAACTCTTTTACAAATCTCAAACGGTAGAGTTTCTTTTTTTGCAAAATATATTTTTCTTTTCTATTAATATACATATTTATTATATTTAGATGGTTATCGAGCTTTTCTTGGTGCTCATACATCTATGAATAAAATTCAATTATATATGCAACAAATTCCTCAACATATTAAAACTATAATTAGACTATTATCAAGTAAAGCTTCAACAAGTCTTGTCAGTCGATTATTACCAAAAGTAATAAATAATATAGAACGTATTGGTCAAACATGTGTAACATTATCACGTGGTACAGAAAATTCATTTGTTACTATTATGGATCTTCTTGGTGAAGTATTAGAAGCAACAGAAGTAACACGAGGTTTACATGAAAAAGATTTAAATGATAAAACTATTGAATTAAATGTTACACATATTATTCATGCTGATATGAAACGTGAAGAAGAAATTCGTCATCAACATTATGAAGAAATTCGTCAAGCTGTACGTAATGCACAAGCAGAATATTCTCGTGCACTTAGTGATATTCCAACTGGTTTTAAAGCACTTGGTCTTGAATTAGGTCGAGCTTTTATTGGATTAGTTAAATCATTTTCAAATAGTTTTAGTTCAAATCATATGAAAGGATTTAATCCATCAATTCAACAAACTTCTGGAAATAATGGTGCTGAATCATTTGCTAATGATCAAATATTAAATTTTGCTTCACGTTTTGCTCAATCACTTGATTCATTAATTGAACGAATATCTTCCAGTGAAAATCAAACTTTAGGTGAACAAGAATTTCAAAGTTTTAAAGTTATATTTGAAACATTTGCCAAGATGATTAATAAGATTCCAAATAGTAAACCGAAAATGAAAGCAGCTCAACTTATTCAACGTGCTATTGATTCAGTTGATGAAGGTATAAATGATAAGAATTCCGATATTAAAAATCAATTAGAAGTTTTAGCTGATGAAGTTAAACCATTTATAGCTGCTGAACAACTTTCTAGTAGTAATAATGTACCAATTTCTATACCAACAAAAGATGATTCATCAAAAAATGAATTATTAAAAGCTCAATTAGCTCAAATACGTCTATCCGAGACAGAAAAGCGTCTTGATCAACAATATGCTACGTATGCAGCAGCTATGGAACAAATGCGTGTATTAACAGCAAAATTAGCTAATCTTGATTTAACAGTTATTCATTTTAAACAAATTCTTGAAATGTTACGTGAAGCATTACGTTTACTTGGTCTTTTACGTCAACATTGGCATAAATTAGTTGAATTTTTTACAAATTTTTCAGCACAAGTTACAACTGGCTTTGATGAAACACTTAAAACATTTCTTGATACAACACGTATTAATATTGATTTAGAAAAAACTGAAATTGATCGTATTCTTATATTAGAACTTTTAAATGGTAATTCAATTAATCTTTATCATGAATCATATACACTTTTTATGATGGCACGTACTTATTTTGATGTATCAAAACAACATCTTATGCCACGTCTTGCTGGTCTTTCACTTATGTTAACAGCTGAAAACGATAATGAACGACAAAGATTACTTAGTGAACTTGAAAGAAATACACTTGATGTTCAAGCAAATGTTACACAACTTGTTAATGAACGAAAAACAATCTATAAAAAAATCATCAGTGAAAAACGTGCAGCATTTAATGAACAAATTAATAATCAAGATGCCAATGGAAATGAACTTGCAATAATTCAAGAAGGAAAAATGCTTCTTGGATATGAAGATACTCTAAATGAATAAATCATCAATTGATTTTTTTTTGTTGGGTATTAAAAAAATAATCTTTTCCTTTGCTTCTTTCGAATGACTCAATTGTTTATAATAAAAAAAAAAAAACTATTTGTCATATGACGCATAGAATCATTGTTTTTTTTTTGCCAATATTATATGTAACTATTAGAAATTAATCTAACAGGTGGCACAGATTAAATGAGACAATATAATGCCGTTTTTAGGATCATTCCGATACACTTTCAGAAAGTTATTCGATAGAGAATTTTTCGCTCGACGAAACTATTTCGTTTGTTTTTCATATTAAATTTTCTTGTTGACGTACAATTTAAAATATAAACGTTTGTTTAATCGTCTAACTATGATATTATCAATTTGTGTGAATCTTTGTTCATGAAGACTAATTTAAAAAGTAACACAGTTAGTATCAATGGATACAGAATGTTGTGCTCTATGTTTCTATGATCTTTTCAAGATTCCTGATGTTATAGTTATGAACCTGTTACGATTGCTAAGTTGAAGAAAACAAATGATTAAACCACTCACATACTAGAAGATGTTCGTCGGAGAATGAAAAAAGCTATTATCAACTAGAGTGAAAATGAGAGAGGTATAAATGATGCGAGAAAGAGAGAACGATTAATATTAAACTTCATTTGTATCAATAGTAAAATATATTTAGTGGATATATAAAATATGGAGGAAAGAACATTAATGCATTCCCTTGGAACGATGAAGATTCAAATTTTGATAATTGTAACAGTTCGAATAATGATTCAAACTTCGACCATTGATGAATGTGAAAATGAATTAGTACGTGTATCGACATATTATCAAATAGAATTCGAAGACGATAATAGTGATGATATCAATAAAGAAAAAGAATATAATGAAAAGAAAACGATAGTAACGATTCATATCTGTTAAATGTCATCAACAGTAACAAAATCCAACAGCTCAATCTAAATCAATTTATGAAAAAGTGAAATTCAATTGTAATTCTGTTTTTTTTTACCTTGTATTTGAAACATAATCAGAGTGAACTAACTAAATAGTAATAATGATATTCGGTCCTTTATGGATAGGAATTCATATTAGAAGACACCTCTAAAAAGTCTGTGCGCTAAAACATAATAAAATACCAGAAGTCTTTTACTGTATGAGGAGTTTAGATCGTATAGAAATAATAAAGAACAATAACGTAATCTTGTCAGATAAGGTTTTTTTAATTTTTTACTTCCTGATTATTCTTGCAAGTATTTCTTCTGAAGCATATATCACAGGATGCCGAATTTTATGGAGAATCCAATGGCATATGTGACATTTCAGAAAATCGTTATTATAAAAAATTTTGCATTATTTTTCCGTTTCTTTTGATGATCACAATTGGACAGTTGAGCAAATGTTAATATTTTAAGTATTGCTCTGACAAAAAAAAAAACTTACTTGAAAAACAAACGTAACGGTTTTGAAGAGTAAAAATTTCTCTATCGAATGACTTTCTGAAAGTGTACTCGAGCGCCTAAAAAACAAAGAAAATGATATGGTCTCGTTTAATCTGCGTCACCCGTTATATTGATCAATACACACTAGTTTCATATTACATATTACTTATCGATTTTTTTTGTTATTGTAAAAACAAAAAAAACAAATATCTATATTCATTTTAGAATCATGTTACTTTTACTAGTTATATCTACATTCGTATGCAATTCATTAATACAAGCTATTCCATCAATATCTTTTTTCTATCCGAATAGTTTAACTGATTCAACTTGTAAAGGTGACTATTCGTGGACAAAATGGTTTAATTCATTTCAACCAAAAAATGATATAGATTTTGATCAAGAACTTCTCTCAAAAATTCAAGCAGAAAATGATCGTGATATATGTGCTATACCTAAAGGTATCCAAGCTCAAACAGTAAGTGCACTTGAAATCGATATTAATTATGCAGTCTCATGGAAAGCAACGAATGGTATAATTACTGCATGTATTTCACGTACTCCTGGTGTTAATTTTCGAGTACGATTTTGTTGTGCAAATAGTGATTTTATCACAACAACTACAACAACACCAAGACCTATCGATAGTCATACATGTGGTCGAACACAAATAAAGCCATCATTGCAATTTACGCGTATTTTTGGTGGAGCACGTGCTATACCACATTCATGGCCATGGGTAAGTTACAATTTCTAAAAAAAAAAGAAAATTATTTAATTTTCTTCAAATATTAGCAAGTTTTGTATGAAGAAGAAAAACCATGTGAAACAAATAGAATATGTATAGAAACTTGTGGTGGTACTTTACTTGATTCATATCATGTACTTACAGCAGCACATTGTATTAGAGGAAAAAATGTTGAACATATTCTAATTACAGCTGGTGTTCATAATAGACAAATTGATGAATCAAATACAAGACAAGAAAAAAAAGTTGCTCGTATTTTTTTACATCCTGATTGGAATAGTGAAACATTAGCAAACGATTTGGCTATTCTTCAATTGAGCAAACCTGTAGAATTTAATAAATATGTTCAACCAGCATGTCTACCTGGTCCTGATCCTCCTTCTAATTCTGATGTGATTTTAATTGGATGGGGAGCTGAACAAATGGGTGGAAATCCATATGATGAATTAAAACAAGCTCAAGTTAAAGTTATTGGCGAATGTCATCGATTTTGGAATCTATTTGATGAAGAAAATCAAATTTGTGTTGGACAAATTGTTTCTGGTGATTCAGCATGTCAAGGTGATAGTGGTGGTCCTTTATTACAACAATATAATGATCAATGGATTGTACAAGGTGTAGCTAGTTTTGTGGATGATTGTAAAACAAATGGAGATTTTCCACCAAATATTTATGTCAAAGTTTCAGCTTATCTAACTTGGATTAAAAGTATTATTAATTAAATAATAAGAATCGTTTGAAAAGAAATTAATAAATTCATTTAAAAAAAAGCTTGGCAGCGCAGCCCCAAAGGGGTTAAAACGTAGAATTTATATATGTTCTTTAGTCTGGTTATACTAATACAAAAAATATGCTAAGTGAAACATCACTCGCAGATTATAGTTATTTTCTAAGGATAATCGATCGTTAGAGAAACGATCTGTCTTATTAATGCGTTGCGAAGCACACGATTTCTATCATCCTTTGTGAGTTAGCTTTCTCGACATGCGCATCAAAAGTTTTCATTTTGTATCGTGGTGACCTCCAACACGGAAAGTCAGAAAATACTCGCTCAAACTCGAACTGAAAGTATCAAGATCAAGTCGATATCATTTTTTTTGTTCCAATTTTTTCAAGAACGTTCCATTTCCTTATAAATAGTGCCCCAAAGGATGTCGGCGTGAGTGTGCGTCGATGAGTGTATTATTATCTTTGCCCACATCCCAAAACTTCCAGACATGATAACAGAAAGTGAAATGTGACACAGCGAATAAAATTATATTGCAATGAATTTCTTTTGTTTTTCGTTCTTTTGTTTTCTCCTAACACTACAGATAACAACAGATAAGAAAAAGGAATGAAGTACCTACGTGAAACTAAACAGAACTTCAACCACAATAACAATCAGAAACATATAGAAACAGCTAGAAAAAATTTTAACATACTACATAAATTCAGCTCATTTTATTCTTTCATCAAAAAAACACCATACACACTATGAATAAAACGAGAAAGTCGACAATAACAACCGGTACTCCAGCTTCTGCTGCAAAAATTGAACATATGAGCATAAACCTACGACAGCTTCCATATGCTCGTATAGTTCAGAACTTCTTACTCGTGTAGTGAGATGTCAATATTCGTCACAGGAATAACAATGATTATATCAATACCATCAACAAATTAAATGGAGTTATCAGCAAGATATATTCATTCATTGATTTGGATGAATGCATCGATTTTATAACGGATATTCAACAAGAGAAAATATTTATGATCATTTCTGGTGTCGTCGAGCAAACAATTCTTTCCAACGTTCATAACATTCCACATATCAATGCTATCTATATTTTGGGTGAGAATTAAGTTCAGCATAAAGGTAGGGTGAAATAATGGTCAAAAATAAAAGGAGTCTTTACAGATGTTGCTCATATCTGTAAAGCCCTTCAACAATTGACACAAAAGTATGATCAAAACATTATACCCAAGCAGACAAAAATTTTGAAAAATGCGTTTAAACGCACAATCGGCGACCACGACTGTGATCCATTCATGCTTATTAACAAAACGCACGAAACAACGTTTTTTGTGCAAAATAGTCACTTTTAGAACATGAAAACTGTGGAAAATTTCAGTTTTTTGTGTTAAAACGTTCTTTTTTTCTGGAGTTTAGAAATAACGCGTTTAAACGCTCAGTTTTTCAATTTTTCAACGTTTTCACGTTCTAAAAGTGACTATGTTGCATGAAAAACGTCGTTTCGTGCGTTTTTTTAATGAACGTGAATGGATCACATATGTTTTTCGTCGAACGACACTTTAGTCGACAGACTTTTCGTCGAAGTAACTTTGTCGAAAAATTTTTGCCGAAATGTTTTTGTAGAAAAGCATTTCGTCGAAAGTGAATTATTTTCTTCTTATTATTTGTTTTGCCATCAGGAGGCAAGTTCAAAATTATCTCCTAATTAACTTTGTTCCTTTGACGATGATGGAAGAATTTCAGGGCACTTCTGAATAGAATTACATGCTTTTCGTCGAAAAGTACTTCAAGGAAAGGTCCACAGTCTCTCAAGACAATTCCGGATCCTTCAGTTCTTCTATAGAACTGTTCAGAGTTAAGAGGACAATGAATTTTCTCTCACACTCACGTTTGTAGTGTCTTTGGCCTCAGCCTTGCCTTCATCCTCACGTTTGCAGTACCCTGCATGGTCCTTGTTCTCATTCTCACCCTCATGCTCACCTCACCTTTACATTGGGAGTGCTCTCCATAGCCAAGAAAACATTTTCGACGAATAACATATCTGTTTAAGTTTATTGATGACATGCTTTGTCGACAAAGTGTCGTGTCGACGAAAATTTTTTCGACCAACAACATGATTACCTCCGTTGCTGTGTCGTTCGTTTTAATAGTATTTGTTTAAGAAATAATATTAAGACCAGTTCAGATTCAATAATTGATATATCAATTGATTCAACAATGAACATCGTTCAGAGAAGTGTAAAAGAATAAGCATCTTAATTCATGTGTTTTTTTCTATAATCAAAATCTTAGAATTTCAAAATTATATTTCGATTTCGTCTTTTATCTTTGAAATTTCTTTTTGAACGGAAATGAAACTTAATACTTTTTTCTTATATTTGTACTACCTTCAGAAAAGTTTAAAAATGACTTTTTATTTTCTATAAGAATTCTAATGCTCTTTATGAACAGTATTTCAAATAGATTATCTAAAACAAGTGAATAAATAAAAATTCAATAGGAAAGAAAACAAATTTTTAATATATTTATGATTATTAGTTTGTATGCCATTGATGTTTCCAGGATTTCAAACTTTGGAGCATGTATGCATATCGACTACAAGGTGAAATAAAAGCTTACGAATGCCATCTAGTCAAAATAACTTGATCAATTTTTACCTTCATAGTTGAAAAAAATCACCATATTTTCCCACAACTTTCTAATAATTGCTTCAAGTAAGTTTCATTTTAAGTCAGTTTTGAATAACTTACAATAGGAACTTCTCAAATATATCTCTGAGATGTTAACTATATAGTTCATACATTGTTCGTTATTTTACGTAAATCCTATTCATTGAATAGTTTTTCGAATACTGAAAAAATGTCATATATTCGATTTCATTCCCATCACTAATATTTTTTTCCCATTCTTCTCTCTTCAAATCTTATGTCGTTCAAGATGTTTTGCACATTTATCTTTCCATTTGTCTTATTGTCATATTAGTTCGCTACCAGTTTTCGGTCCATTCGGTACAATAATTGTCTACACAAGATCAACACGCAACATTAATACAAAAAACAAGTCAAAATAGTCTTTTGTACAAGTACACAACATTACAAAAAACCTATCATTCAATGATGGCTAACAAAAAAAAATGAACAAAAAATATTTGTTAATAGGCTATGTCAATACGGCACAAGCATTTATTTTCTTTTCAATAAATATCTGCAACATTAATCTAACTATTCATCATTATATATGGTTAAGTTACTGATTGACTTTCGTATATTACTCGCATAACAATTTTTACATGTCATTTGGCATATATTAATATGATCTGTTTCAATCAATTATCATTTTTTAATGGCGTTTTATTTTTTGTTTTTCTGGTTGCTATTCACTTGTTGTGTTTCATTTTCTTTAGTGAACATTTTTACTGTTCGAATCATTGATTTCACTGGCAAATAAGCCTGCTGTACATATTCATTACATCTACAGCAGGTCTCAACGCACTCTTGTATATATCCCGATAAGCTCACAAACACTGATACTGATCATCTTCTAAAGTTATAACTTGACCAGTTCATGCTTGTTATATGGACGATATAATGATTGTGGCAAATCAATGTATCATTACCTGTCATCCTTGACATCTGAAGTATAATTTTTTTATCTGCACAAAAACCGAAAACTACACTATTTAGATCACTTTGAAACGTATTCCAGCAAATCTAATATCGAGAAAGGCTTCGGCATGCTACGATTTGCTGTAAATACTGCTCGGCACCTTTTCTGTTGCTAAGGATATCTGGAAAAAGAGTCTAACGCCTAGTGTTCTTGATTACTATGGAAACACACCCTATGATCGTTGACTTTTCCCTGTTGCTGAAGGAAACATGCTCATTAGTCTCTGACCTGCTAGCTATGAAAGAGCAGCCAGAAAACCTTGACTTAAAACTTAAAGGCACTACATTTTTTTTTGAAAAACATAATGAAAGTTCTACAAAAAAATAACATTTCAAATGAATTGAAAACTCTATGAACTGGAATCGTTCAGGAATTGGTGATATTTTGTATGCATTCAACTCTTTTTGTATTCTCTTTTTTTTCCGTATTAGAATTATAAAAAACAAATTGATCACGAGAAAAAATTTTTTTAATTCCATATTTTATTTATTCACAATCTGATAAATAATAAACAAAAAAAAAATAATAACATCTCTATTGAATCATTGTTTGATTACCCATTTCAAGGCAATTGTACTCTTAATCTCATTTTACTCATCTATAAAAGCAAATAAAAATAAGATTTGAACGTAAATAATTGATGTTTTTCTTTACTTTGTTCCGATATTAAATGAATTTTACTTGTTCTTCGTGTAGGAAGTCGAAATGATGGTGTACCATTTTCTTTACTTAATGATGAAGTCTACAAATAGAAGATATTCAACAAATTGTCAATTCATTTAAACTAAATATGTACTTTAGCTGGTTTGAAAGCAATCAAGTCATTTGTTGGTGACAATGGTGTAAGTTCTTCATGATTTAAAAATTTTTCAAAACGTAATCGCCATGGACTTTTTACTTTTCCATTTGTCATTGTTGGTGTTATTTGATTATCCTATACAAATATCTTAATAAATATTCAAGCAAAAAAACCAAAGAAAAATAATAATTAACTAACAATTAATGATAAAGAAATATTCATTTGTTTAATTTTTGTTGGTGTAGTATGTTTTTCAAGACCTTTAAATGTATTTGGTATTGTTGATATTCCCGATGGTAATGAACATTTAATACCAGAGAATTTTTCAATTTTACGTAATGAATGACGTTGAATATTTAATCGAGATAGATCTAAATTTGAACTTGTTAATATTTCATGATGAGAATTAGATATTTTAATAAATGTATTTGAGAAATTTCGTTGATTATTTATATGTAATGATGCTGTTCGACGAACATTTGTAGTTGTATGTGAAGATTTCGTAGGTGTTAAGGATTGTT